ATAGTATTTTTTTCATCATTTCATTAAAGTTTGTTTCCCTTGATAGTAATGATCTTTATTTAAAATATTGAAAACGTTTGAATTACATACAAATCAAAACAACTCATTAGTACCTTTTTTTCAAAAAGGGGCAATACTTCTTTAAATATTGAATTGTAGACAAAAAAAGTAACAATAGTCGAGTACTAACATCATTTCACTGTAATTGAACAACTCCGATTATTATTGAACATTGAAAAAAAGAATTGGAATTCTAGCTACATTATTAAATATCAAATCATTGGACATGATTTATTTACAAACCATAGGAATGAATATTTAATGAGACATTTTATATGTGTTTAAAATACCAAAGTGTGTATAAATAACGACAAGCGATTAATAATGACTCAAAACTTTAGTGTTTGTATAAAATGAATCAGTCAGTCAGTTAGATGCAATGTACAACTTCGTACGTAAGTACATCAGTTCATGTTGCCATACCACATCAGCACACACGGAAATATAATTGTCAATTCAAATCCAATAGTAGAAGAGGTAGTAAGGGAATTAGAAGCAATCGAAGAGGTTAGGATTAGAAGATATTATTCAAGAAGTATGATTCAGTGAGAAAAGGTTAGAAAGACGAAACTAGAGGTTTTGAAGAATCCAGAAGATTAGGATTTGAGAGAACACAAAGAATAAATGCACTGCCGCCATTGCAAACGGTTTTGAGCCATGTCGTTCAGAGTATCTAACCATCGATTATTATCATCTCGCGGACCCCAACCAGGTAGTCGACAACTACCGACATGACTCAGTCCACTTGTCAATGACTTCATGGATTTCCGCCATGTTTTGGTCTGGCCGCCCCTAACTTTCGTCCAACCTACTCCCCTACACTACAAAACAAAGCTCGTCGAGGCATAAAATGAATAAACCATTGATCCATTGAAACAATGAAGCGATCATTGTTAAACGATTTGATAGCTGCATTAGATTAGATGTCAGGTTTACTACTTCAGTGGCTGGGTTGAACTCAAAGTAAGACTCTACATTTTAGTGTGCCTTGATGATGCAGGTATTCACGAATGATTGAGCATGCGATTAAGTGAATCGTCCCCGTTTGTGCGACAGTGGTAATAAGAAGCTAAATACAGACTCGGTTGGATGAGTTTACTTCAAGCAATTCTTTAAACAGGGCAGACATGATGTTGAGAAGCTTACAAGATGGGCGAAGCGAATTGGAGAAGGCCAACTCAATGTAAAATCAGGTATGACTAAGCATTTATAGTCAGACAAAAGTAAGCCAGATATGTAATGAGCAAATCATGCAGTGCACATATATAATCGAATAGGTGAAACCAAGATGAAAGCGAATAGTTGGCAAGATTGATGTACATATGAATGGCAGCTCGGGAAGGATGAACTAGTTAATTTGTTTGAAACCTTGGGACAAGCCCGATGAGCTCATTAAAAAAAGTACGCGCACTAAAACCACCTTTATAAACCTGAAAACAATGGACGGCCTTTTCATCCTAGTGCATGACTTTAGCAGTGCTCATCCATGATACCCACTCACGAGAATCGAAACCAGGACTTTTGGTCTCGCGCAGTAACGCTTCACCTCTAGACCACTGAGTCGATATCCAGCAATGTTAATGTCTAATTTCAATCAATCTAAAGTACTGAACAACCTCACCCATTATTTTTTATAGGTGACTTTCTACGCCTTTGGTTGACAGCAACCACGTGTTGCGCGAAACCTTAGATTGATCAAGGACACTAACACCGTCGGATACCGACTTACTGGTCTAGACGTTAAGTGTCCACAAGCCACACCAAAGGTCTTGGGTTCTATTCCCGAGAGCCATAGTCACGGATGTACACTACTGAAGAGTTATATACTAGGATGAAACAGCTGTTCAGTGCTTCCAGGTTTCTAATGGTAGTCTAATAATGATTGAGTCGTGGTTTCAATGGACATTGCGACCTGCATAACCCTATGATGAATAAACCATTTATACTTTACAGAAGTATCTGCAATAACAATTAAATAAATCCGTATTTAACTTGTAATACAAATTTCCCGACCGTAGCTGCTACCTTGATGTGGTGGTTTGGCTTGACCATCGTGATGACCAAGCCGAGCTATACTGGCTGGAGCATATGTTCCTGAAGTTTCTACCATGCCAGGCAGGTCGATTAGAGAACGATGAGACTAAAAGCAGCTACCCAAGGAAGGCTGTGGAAACAGCAGTGATACCTGCTAGTAAGGTTAACCATAAGTCTAGAATGAAGCCATGGATCTCTGTAGCATCCACCGAACTGATGGATGCCCGAAAACTCATCCCCCCTGTCTCTGAACATGATGAAGAACGAAGTCAGCTTAAGCGCAGGCTGATAAAAAGCCTACGTAACGACCGTGAACAGTGGTGGGTGGAGAAAGCAAAAGCGATGGAAAAGGCAGCGGCGATCGGCAACATTAGACAACTTTTCTGACTTATCAAGGAAACTGGTATTAGGAATCCTAGTTTAAGTGAGACTATTTCGGAAAATGATGGGGCTATTATTTCCTTATGAAATTCTAAGCTTCTGAATTCCTCATAATCTCTACCTTTCTCCTTCTAAATTTATCTTACTGAATTATACTTCTCGAATCATATCTTCGCTTCTTAATCTTCTTCATTACTGCTAATACTTCTATTATTGTTATCACTCTTGCACTTAAACTGACAGTTGTGTTGTGAGTATATTAAACCTACGAATATATTCAGCTTACATATGTTTTGAAGCTTTAAACCAAATACACTACTCATGACTAATTACTAAAGTATCCACTCAATCTCCATTGTCTTTCTTTTCATCAATTGGACTTCTGATAATCTATTAGAGATAACCACAAAGCAAAATTTAGTATTATTATTATTAGTAATATAGTTTGGTGAAAAAAATTGCATGACACATAACAACTGATTGGTTGCTGGTAAATAAGCTAGAAACTGCCAAAAATGTGTATCGATCGGATTTTTCTATTAACTTAGATAAGCATACGTAACAAAGTATAAAATTTAACTAAAAGCAAGATATTTGCAATATAAATTGAGATAAACAAAACAGAAACAACAAGAATCTAGTTAGAAGAATATGAAATGAGTATAATATTCGTTTGCCTAATCGAACAATCTTAATGGTGATGACGATGATGATTAGCCATTGGTTTTTAACCTTGAAGTTTACATTTACTATGGTTACCATTCAATTGGTATATTCTTGTCAAGCAGCCAAGATGAAATTATTCAAAGTAAATTGACCAGTCGTAGTATTCAACTCGGTCTTGTGCAAGGAATTTTATTAGATCGAAAGGGTTTATTAGAAGTATGTCTAAAATATCTATGAGTATTATCATCATTCTATGAGCGGCTATTATTATGAGGTAGCCAATCATAACATAAGGTTTCTTATAAATATTTTTATATAGTATTCAAATTAAAGTAGAATTTCAAAGTCAGTGTACTTAGCCAGGTTAGACAAACACTAACTTTTGTCAATGAAACGCCTTCTTGGAAATGTTTCTGATCATGATGATATTATGTATTGCATAAATTCTGTCAGGTGTATAACTTGAGTAGAAGTAATTCAAAGTTTGTTAATACATTTTTCAAAAAAGTACTCTGACTGGCTATGAATCTGTGTTGAGTTCCTTGGTTCATTACTACGTACTATTTGTGTTGTTGGCTGATGATCTTTTGTTGGTTAGTTTTCTGAATTCAGCCTTCTGAGGAGGTGTTTCACTAATATTTGCCTGAATGTTTGATATTCCCTCATAAAGTATATACATATATAACTGATTTCTTGGATGGAATAGTTTTAAATGTATTTGAATTAGTTTGCACTGGAATCTAGAACTTTTATTTGGAACGCATAGTTCATGTTAATATTCACATTGAAGCTCGAAATCATTGCATATCTCCTTAAAGTTAAAGGCTTTATTTAATTAGCAGTTGTCTTCAGATGTCTTGTAACATTTTCAATGTTTATGAACTTTCTAGGGTTATACCATTGCCAGTTTACATGTAAATATTTCAAAGCTAGGGAAATTAAAGACTGTTGGTAAAAGAAACCGAAGCATGTAATTGTTTGACGTGACAAATTCATTGTGGTTTGGTAAATCCTAAACTTAACAGGCTAAAAAACTTCTATATTTCCACGTTAATTTAGTACTTATAACGTTTTGTGATTAGCATTACCTAGTTGAGTCTAAATTATGCAAATAAGTGAATTTGGAACAGTTTAGTTATTTATTTCGAGAATCATATTACGATAGTGAGTTTATCATTATGTCAAACTACTCACTTTAAATTACTTGAGAAATTTTGAGTTACCTATGCCTAAGCAAACCAAGAAAACAAATAAAGGCAAGTATTGGAAAATAAAGGGGATATTTCTGAAATAAATGAATCAGAAATATGAGGGAAGCACACCATAGAGTCCCTTGTTCTGCCTGCCGCGTTCAACACTTCCTTTTTGGATGCCTTACGTCTGAAATGCCGCTGATTCGCCTACTTTTACCTATAACCAACTTAAAAAGAACATCCTAATCCCTAGACTTTGAGGAAAATCTCATCAGTTCCGAAAAATGTTGGTAAAAACACAATAATAATCATTTGGAGACTTTTACGCTAAATGCAAAATAAAAGCCAAAAAATTTTATGGCCAAAGAGAAACTATGAATTTTTTAACGGCTTGACGGAAAACACCAAAATTTGCCTGGAATTACATTAAAACTGAGAAATAGGGACGCTTTAGTTTCATTGTTATTATTGGGAGTTTGACCCGATTGTTTGAAGTCTATTTAACAATGAAACATCATATTATTAGATGGTACTTGAAATAATTAATCTCTAGGCTGGTTTTCATAAATTAATTTCAGTTGTAAAAAAAATAAACGCAGTTTAAACCAGTTGACATTTAAGCGAATAATAAAGTCATTGGTGATCAAAAGTAGAATTTTCACTTACTCCCTTCCCTATCCTCTTTTTAATTTCAAACATTTTCAGTATATGCGGTTCTATCTCGGCGTTCATTCCCACGCCTTCAATTTGCGCGGCGATTGCAGTACCAACCAACAAATATTGCGCGGATGATAATCAACAAATATGCACAAACAGTTAACAAAGGCAAATATATATAAAGTTATTCTGGATGTATATATCCTATGAATTTTTAAGAGGACCAAAATTAATAATTCCTTAAAATATATCGGCCTGCAGTTTCCAAAAACGTCAGATACCTAAGTGAACATTCATTAAGGTTGATAAGATTATTTCTTAGCAGCCTTTTTGGGAATCTGCTCTAACGGAGTCCAGTATATAGAGGTGTACAGCGATCGGCAAGTTTTATGCTGTTACTAGATTTTTGGTCTCACATGAGTAATGCTATCTGATGAATTATTACATGTTTCGTTCAAAATTTTTTTATCAGTAGTAAAAATATTTTGGACATATTCCAGGGGTTAAGTGTTTGTCAGACTCCTGTCACGGTTTAATCTTAAGAACCTGACTGTATTTGAAATTAAAATAAAGAGATCACTCCAACTGACCTTCGCCTACACTGAAGTTTATACGAGTATGCACTCGAAAGACCAGTTTGAATCACTGCGACTGACCGTCTGAAGGTATTTGTACCAGGACAGGTCATTTGGTAATCAAAACTATTTTCATCATAGTCACTCAGAAATAAGAAACTTAAGAATGTAGGTTTGATCTACCGAGTTCCATGAAGAAATGCAGTTTGTGAAATATGGCTTAAAAAGACCATTTTATATATTTGATTGTTCCTGGTTTTACAAGTGGGTTGAATCTGAGTATGTGAGTACTCATTCGCACGAGTGCTGATGAACAGATAATCTTCGGGCGTTAAAGCTATTTCCTTGATAGTTCTCCTTTATTTATGTAGGTCACGACTATCTATTTGTAAAGTTCGCTGCATATGCAAAAGGTTTGGTAGAGTGTATATATGTAGCTAACAGATGATTTACATCGCCCCAGTGGGGAAACGACCAAACAGAACGTTTATCTGCTGGGATGGTTCCAGAAAGCTCAATGGAGCCTCTAAAGACTCGAACGGTGACAGCCTAGAACTCGGTGTAAATGGATTTTCTACCGTAGCAGTTCAATGGTTTCCAGTAAGTGCAATTCGAACGCGTTATCTCCCAATCCAATGTCAAAAACACAATAGTTCTAGGAGAAAACGGTCTATATTATATTAAAAAATGGAAATACAATTCAATACCTGAATTTGATGCACTTTCCAAGTCACAATTACTCCGAGGAGTATCCAAGTTAAAGGGGAATAAGTGATGTTAAATCCGTCCGCCACAGTATCGATCCAAATATGGCTGTGGCCATATTAAAGATCAAATTTAAACAACATATATACAGTTCAGAAGCAAACATAAAAAACTTCAATATAAGTACAAAATGTAGAAATAATAACAATATACAATGATAAAATCTCAAATTGGAATCAAATAAAATACCAAAATGCCAACAGAAACAGTCCGTCATGTCATAACAAAAATATATAAACATGGAGGGATTTTCCAAAAAACAAAACATTCAAAAAGAATTCTACACCGGCCCGCAAAATCCCTCCATGCAAAAAAGCAAGCGTTTAATGACACTTCAATTAAGGTTCCTACTCATCCCCTAATCCACACCGGAAGAACGTGTAGGACTTACAGCAGTACGCCTACCCGCCCTCCAACACGGATATGACCTATCAAGCTAACTAGGTACCTATACCTTCCCATCAGGCCCTTGATTCCCCTATCTATCGTAGCATGACCTAACGGTAGTATAAACCTTACCCAATTAACCCACACGAACATGTACAACACGTCGTAAAGCTGGTCAAATCTTATCCGGGAACTACATTCCATATCATGGGGATGAGTCGTCATTCCACCACCACTTGCTACTATCGGCAGATACAATGAAGTCCGTGATGCTGACTTATCAACAGAAGTTCTTGACCCATAGACAATATGCAAGGGTGGGATCTCCAATTTTGATATTTCCTCGTCTCCAGAAGACTTTAAGTAGCATAACATGGGACCAATATTTATCTCTCCATCTCCTGATACAGAGGAGGTTTGATCAGCATTCGTCATCGTCGGTAACTCATTTGTCACATCAGTGACATCCAGATTATTATCAACGTCATCATGATTCCATTGTGTCAGACAAGTTGCGTCGTTTCGGTCTGCATTAGCATCCGTAGAGTGAAACTCTTCCATTGTTGTATAACTCATCTCGCTACATGAAAGAACAGCATTAGTGTCACAATCCAAAGCCGATAAACTCACTTGTTGTTCTTCATGTTCCGTTTCAGAGACACAAGACGTATGCACATCAATAGCATCGTTATCATGCAACACTGTAGACCGACTGTCACCATCAGACGCTTCCTTCTCATCATCACTTGACTGACAGTCAACCGAAGTAGGAACACTTACAGTTACACAACCTTGTGTATCCTCAATCAACTTAACATTCGTGACAAGGTCCGATGACGTCGAAACACTAGAACGCTCATTCGATGAAGTTGATCGACTAGTCACTATAGGTGGACTGCTCACACTTTCTGTCTCCTTATTATCGCTGCCACTACTAAGATTCTGATGACTACTATTGCCATTGCTAGTCATAGCATCCGAAAGAGGACGAAGTTTAGGCTTCTTAGCCTTTACAGTACCGCCATCACTTATCCTAGAATCAACTCTAGGTCCTGTTATATAATTTACCCTAAGTGAAGGGTTCCGAACATAGGCTTTATTCCGTCCAGACAATCCTGCCTTGGCCTTATTCATATTCATTGAACTCACTAACCTCTGTTTACTCGAATCCAAATAACCGTTCCAGGCTTTTCGAGCAGTTAAGAGGCTTTTATCATCACACACTTCGGATCCATCTTGATGCCTACACTTTTCACCTTTTTCTTTCTTTTCCATACTTAGAAAAGCCATCTTATCTGTTACACAAACCGGCTTCTTACTGGGATACTCATCAAGAGGTTTTACATCATCACGGTCACATACTCGGCCTTCAACAGCGTATACTTTCCTGATACAATTGGCAACTCTCTTATATTCCGGGCGTGAGTTAGGTGTAAACGAAGAATCCTCATATCTCGCACGCAGACCACTAATAGCTTCCGTATTATGTCCTGTTTTAGCCCGATAAGCTAATCTTCCGAACCTACTACTAGCTATCTTAGCACGAGACATAATAAATTCCGTCAACTCATTGAAATAAGGCTCTCTTTCCTCTTCGTCCCACTTGATTCCCAGCTCTGCCCACTGGGCTTGCATTCAATGAGGTAAGAGCCTAACTATTAGTTCCAAAGTAACCAGGGAATTAAGTTCCGTTGTACAATTTAACGGTTCTAAAGTTAGAGCAGCATTCTGCATTTTAATAGCCAAATTCGTCAATAGTTCAGGATCATTAAAATCTGCATTCCCGGTTCTAAATAAGTCCTCTAAGGTTTCACGGGCTATTACATGCGACTGTCCAAAGAGCTGTTTTAAGATGGCCTTAGCTCTCTTATATCCCGCTTGTGGATCCATTATAATACAACCTTCAATCGCATTTTTTGCCCTTCCTTTACAGTAGTGAATTCAATATAATAAACGCACTTGGTCATCTTTTACTCTGGGTTCTATAAACGTCTAAATAGTCGAATGAATCTAAAGTAGTCGCGAGATTTTCCATCAAAAAATGAAAGTGCAACCTTAGGTAGTTCTAAGCCTACTATCGGTGTCCTAAGCATCTGATCCGTCTCTGGTACCTTAGAACTTTCACTTAAGCCTTGTTCCTTAATGCCTGCCAAGGGTGACTTACAATAATAAGTATCAGACATAACATCATCACTAATAAAGTAGGAACCCATTAAACAAGCATCATCAACAACTTGCCTAGCATTTCGGGATTCTTCAAGCTCTTCCACCATCCTCGTGTTTGTTTTCTTGCGGTTGGTCATTTTTAAGTGAAGTTCAACGGAAGATAAATAACAAATACAAAATATAGGAATTCCACAGGTAAGAAATATCCAAATCAGAAAATCGTTTTCCAAAATACAGTTCGATCACAAAAAATGCGATAAGTAATCCAACGTTCTTTTTCCAAGAAGTTTAATATTATAAACGATTAAAATTCCAAATGCTTCTTTATTCTTCTTAATAATCAGACTGTAGTAGGCTTCGTTTCCAAATTGTTAGACTGTAATTGGTCTTCTGATCAAAAGTCGAACCAAAATTCAGACTGTAATAGTCTTATTCTCCAAAATTTGTTGGTCGTCGCAACAAATTCAGACTGTAAATGGATTTTCTACCGTAGCAGTTCAATGGTTTCCAGTAAGTGCAATTCGAACGCGTTATCTCCCATCCAATGTCAAAAACACAATAGTTCTAGGAGAAAACGGTCTATATTATATTAAAAAATGGAAATACAATTCAATACCTGAATTTGATGCACTTTCCAAGTCACAATTACTCCGAGGAGTATCCAAGTTAAAGGGGAATAAGTGATGTTAAATCCGTCCGCCACAGTATCGATCCAAATATGGCTGTGGCCATATTAAAGATCAAATTTAAACAACATATATACAGTTCAGAAGCAAACATAAAAAACTTCAATATAAGTACAAAATGTAGAAATAATAACAATATACAATGATAAAATCTCAAATTGGAATCAAATAAAATACCAAAATGCCAACAGAAACAGTCCGTCATGTCATAACAAAAATATATAAACATGGAGGGATTTTCCAAAAAACAAAACATTCAAAAAGTATTCTACACTCGGTGCGTACGTACATCAGTTCAAGTTGTTACATTTCATTAGCAAAAGGAAATGAAATCGTCAGTCCAAAACCTATAGTATCGGGGTTCGTATTAGTGCCACAGGTAACAGAAAAGATTGAACATAAAATACACTATCCGAGAAAATATAAAGCAATGAAATAAAAATGGGAAAACTGGAAATTAACTACATCATTATTAAACTTTCTACCGTCACCTAACACCTTATTTTTATCTTAAGCATTGCCTGCCTGGTGGTACCAGGACTTACAGGTAATTCAGTGCAGCAGCTTCACAGTTTCTATTAGGCATGTTATTGGTCACAATAATTTAATGAACAACTTTAAAAAGTTTACCACTATCTACAATATTCAGATTTCACGAGCGTCTTAGCTTGTTCAAATACTTAAGTTGGTAGAAAAATACGATGCAAGTAGCTGGATAGTTGGCTTATGAAAGTTCTAACCGCTACAGCGGGTTCTTGAAGTATTTACTTGTCAGTTAATATTTCACTGATTGCGTATTATCATCGGGATATGGAGGATTTTTTTATCTGCATAAAGGTTGATACAGAGGTAGAAGATAGAGCCAATGACCTTTAGAATCACAATTAAGCGTAGCACACCTAAATACTTGTAACAAGAATGAGCATGTTGCCACTTTTTCGATTGTCAGTTTTCACCATAACTTTGTTACAATGACTGGATATATAACTAAGATCTAAAGGCCTCACCTGCTATCAGGGTATAAACTGATGCGTCAGATAATGGAGATCATTTCGCCTAATGTTTTTGAATAGAGATGGGTATCGGGGTCAGGTACTGTGCATAACTTGGTTCGTCGGTCGCTTTAGAAAGAGGATCTATCAACTAATTATATGGCATTTGTGTTATTAGTTGATATGCTAATGATGTTATTGTACGTTATCAGGTGTGAAACCCGGATTCACGTTGGTTTCTATTCTGGATCAGTTGATTAGCTAGGGGTTATCAAGCTTTTTAAAATAAAATTTCTCCTCAGGATGGTCCAAGAGAAATCCTTGACAAAGTGATTACGCATGAATGATTACGGAGGAAAGAATTTATGGTTAAGTATTAGATTTCGAACTACATGTCTACGTACCAGTTAACCTTAATTAACTTCAATCCATTACAGAATATTTCATAAAGTAGTTTAATTGCAGTCATTCATGTTTTTTTACGTTTATATCAATAGTATTCAATAAATGTTTCACTTCGGAGGAAATTGAGATGTGTTTAGATGAAGAGATAAGTGATCGATCTTTATAGATAGAAGGGTTCGAATTTAAAGTATTAGATTTATCTTTCTCAAATCCCATGAAGCTTGTTCAAATCATGGCACCCGAAATGAGATTAACATTCGCTGGTCCTCTGAGCTGGACATGAAAATGAAAATGTTTTGTTTTGTAGAGTTTAGGGTTTCAGTGTGGAGTGGTTGACTGATTTTGCTCTTTAGCTGTCTTCTGGAGATATCTGTTTTGCCTTAGTATCAGTTAGAATTTTAACCCCATTATGTTGGCAATCTTACGGAGAAATTTAACGGCCGTCATTTGATATGCATCGTTTTGTTTTGTACAACAGCTATTTTTGTCTTCATAGTACACAAGATGCGTTTTTGAAGTATTTTAGATTTTTATGCTTTGTTTCTTCTCAGTAAAGCATATATCACCAGACTAAACCATGCGTTGGTGTTCACATATAAGAGCTGACTACAACTAACTCAGTGGAGCTTTGTTCTTCAAACAAAAGAACACGATGTCTAGATTCATTTGGAGGAGATTAGGTTTGCTGGATCTTTCTCTTCATTCATACCGACATACTTATGTAAATTCGTAACGTCTTTAAATTTCAGGATTTTACAGAATTGAAATAGAGTTGTTTAAGAATTCTGTAGCGAAATTCCTGCACGACGCTCAGAATAAATTATTGACAAGAAATTCTCTTCAGAACTAACTATTTATCACCAGCACCCAAAGGTTCAGAGTGTAGATGAAATACAAATTGCTAAGTCTTCCGTTGATTACGAAACACACTTAACACATGACATCCCTATCTGCCTGTATCAACTGTTGTGCTTGAGGCTCTGAAGGCCTAAAGTTAGCATGCAGAATGCTATGAGTAAGTTTGTCAACGAATCTCTGAGGCTAGAAAAAGCAAGTGATTGGATAATGAAAAATTTGCTCTTACGGATCTAAAATCAGGATTATCTACACAGAAGTTTAAGCAACTGACGTTAAGCAAATAAAATCCAACTCATGATATCCTTTTTTTTATAAAAACATTGTAATTAGAGGTTAAAAGTATTTACTATCTTATCTTTGTGACGGTAATACAATTCCTCTGTTAAGCGGAGTGATATTGGTTTGCTTGTTTGGGGCCGCGTGTGACCATTTCTACTCCTGAGTTGTGTTGGATGTTTTTACCATGAAGCTAGAGTCTGTCACTATACTTCACAGATTTATGAGGAGTGCTTATCCATTAGTGTGACGGACGTTGTCTTCAGTTTAAGTATCAGAAATAGAATAGGGATAACTGAAGAGCCTTTGTGGATTGCCGAGCTGTCAACCGTCAAAATGTACTGAATATGTACGTATTACAACATGCCTAAGATATCGAAAACGATCTACAATATACGACTTTTTGCTGAAAATCTTTTTAACTGGTAGTATCACATAACCCCTGTAGCCAAAATGCACTCCTAAACCAGCTTTCATTGCAACGTTTGAATCGCACATGCCATTTAGTGTAAGGAGTGGTTTTCAGTTGATGATATTCCATTGTTTTGAAACAGCTTACGAGTTTCATAGGTTTACTTAACTTAACTTACTTAACCCAGCTGTGTGTAATGAATGCAACTTTTGACAGATGCCCTTAAAGAAAAACTGACAGATTTAGTCTGACTTCCAAGTTTCTTGATAACCAAACAAATTGAAACATCCAAGTTAAGGTATCTGGACTTAGATTCGCCATCTGCTTAAATATGAGAAGTAAGAGGTGTCCTTAATCGATTGATAAAATTTAGGCCACAGACGTTCAAAGGACTCGTGTAGACGAGGTTCGCCCAGCTAATAGGCATTCATATCAAATGTTGGAATTCAGTGTACTCGCAGTTTGCATAGATCACAAACGACTGACGAGCTCGCTCACCACCAACATAGGTGAACATGTCCCCGAAAAATCAGTCACCTCGACTTGATATCTCTATTCAGAAGTAAAGTTAGATATGTCCAAATCAAGAATAATCACACGGAAGAAGCATTTTGTCAATAGAAAATTAAAAGAACTTTGTGATCAGTAATAAAGTTTCAGATTTAAGTATGACCAAGAACCACAATGTCTACTTTTAGCAAGACCTCGGTTCTCTTGCTGAAACACTTACCATGATTTGTTGACGGTAGTTTAATCCACTGTGATAAGGGAATAGGTCACCGAAATTTGATGATTGTTACATGTTTCCTCAACCTGAAGCGAAGGCAATCACCAAACTGAAATGTGCTTAATATATAAGGTTAGATGTACTAACGGATGCGGAAAAATGCATTATTAGGCGTCCAGTAGGCTACCAGTCAACACTAAACGTTGTACAAATTAATGCATCGCAGTAGCCACACGATCTATTCTATTTTTTCATGTTTGTGTTGATTCGTAAGGTCTTTAACCGACTTCCACTGGCTATACTTGGTTGTCGTCATGTATGAACTCACTCCCCATGTTCCCGTTAAATATACAAATAGGTGACACCTCTGCCGAAACTAAGTCAGAATTCACCACCTGGAGGTGGCTGCCCCTATCAAAACGACAAGTAGCTGAGGAACTTAATGAGAGTTTTAGCTAGTTACAAACTTGTAGTGTATGCATTACATATTGTTGCAAGACTAATAGACTAGTGGAACTATGTTGGTTGTCAACTTTCGAACTGTAAAGATAATCCTTCCGGGATGCACTATGTAAATGATTCAAAAACTCCGATTGTATGGGCGTATTGTGTAACCTCTTATTCTCAGAGTGATCAACAGCAAATGGAATCAGCCTTTAGAGTAGATGTTTTCGAAAACGCTTCAGAAATGCTTATGGCAGACAACAACGATCCAATTCCCTTATATTACTAATATTAGTGACTGGAGCAATAAGTCGCAGATCAGCAAATATATGGTGATTTCCATTGTCCAATTTAATTCCTTCTGGTACCGTGAACAGTTAAGAAAATCGCTAAAATCCATTAGTTTGAAAAATTTCTAGACAAAACACTGTAATTCAAACCTATGGAAGCACGTGTCAGTTTCTTGAGTATTGATCAATAGACAACACGTGAAAATTTAACCCACGACGATCTAGTTTCTTTTGTATTTGTTTTCGTCTTCGTCTCTACTTTCTTATACAAAAGGCGGTCTTGACAATACACGGATATATATCTTCAAGAAAACACTGAAAAAACTGAAATGCATGACTTAGTTTTCTGTTATAACAAGGGATGCGCACAAAAGTACAATCCAGAAGAAAATTCGGAAGGTAACACTCCCACTGGTTGTTACCAGAATTCACAGATTCGTGTCGATACCATCCTGGAGAGCCAGTATTTCATGATGCCAAGAAAAAGTGGTCCTGTTGCAATAAATACAGCACGGACTTTTCTGAATTTTTGAGCATAAAGGGATGCACTGTAGGAAAACATAACAACGTACCCCCACAAAACACTGTGAAAGAGCAAAAGAAGTCTGATATCCCAGTTAAGGTAAGTTATCGGTGCTTAATAATCAAGTATCTTGAATATTTGCTTGCTATCAACAAACTAATCGTCACGCAATAACGATTACCTAGGTTTTGACTAACTCATCTGGTTCAGTACCGTTCCACCAGTCAACACTTGAAAAGATGTATTTGGTCAAAAATAAATGCCTCGTTGTATCCTAGTTCTACGTATGATAACTGAGTTATCGGTTTAGTTTATCGGACTATTAGATTGGTATACTCATTTTAACATGCGCTGGAAAAGTCCATGGTTGCGTTGTTTGGGAGTAAAACAGATCAGTAAGTATACCTAAGAGTTTCAGGTTTTATAGAAAAATCAGCAATTTTCTATGAAACACGGCCGTTAGTTACTTCAAAAAATTATTTATCTTATCTAGAAATCCAAGTAGCACAATATTTGCCATGATTTACGATAATCCATTTAAGGCAGAAAACATGTGACGCTAATCCGAAACTAAGTGGCTATACGTACGTGTGTAAATGCTTCTAGATAACCACATGTAGTGCTTTATATTATGATCTTAACCAAGAATTCTTAAAGCCATCACATTCAATGTCTATGTGGTTCAAACTCGCTATGTTTCTGGCTATTTCTTTTATATATGAGCGTGTGTCCTGAGTCTCCTAGGTAGCTGAATGTAAACGTGAAGAATGTAATGTCACCATGAGAAATAGATAACATATTTAGTTTTCCTTCTACAATCATTCCAGTTTCTTACTCATTAGTATGAACTTAGTCTACAGAGTCCCATTTTTCTCCCATCTTGTTCATATTAGATTTCAGAGTACTTAGTGAATATTCAAGTATACCTGTCTAACAATTTATGCTGATTCTTAAACAATGTTCGAAATTTTTTGAATTAATTGGAGATTTCTAGTCAGTTGTTTTGAAATATATATTTTCCTCTCTTGTAGCCTGTTCCTGTACCCACACCTAAAATGGAAAAGCCTACTGTGTTCCAAAGACCATCATCTACTGAACGTACATGTGATATTCCAGTTGAAATTGCATCAAATCTTAAATCAGCTCTGGAAGCACTATCACTAGATCCATCTTTCAAACGAATGCAAGATGTCACAGTAGGCAATAATGAAGGTTAGTTTGTTCATAGTGGTTACTATTCATGTTAACTTGACGTCAAAGTAGGTATTCATAGTTTATTGGTTTTCGATCATAGGTGTCTTTAAAGTGTTGCCCGTTTACCTTGGGACTATCGAGTAAGCAATGCAGTTGTTAGGAAACGGGTACTAGGTAAGGGTGGCAGATCAATAGATGAAGTAGCGAGCCTTCATCAGTTGAGGTGGTTGGAACGTGTTGCGTATGCCTAACCGCCGACTGCCTTGTCAAGCTACGTTTTGTCATGCAGGAATAGGTTGGAAAAAGCTAGGGGCGGCCAAACCAATACATGGCAGAAATCCATAAAGTCACTGACATCTGGATTGAGTCATGTTGGTAGGTGTCGACTACCTGGTTGGAGTCCGCTAGATGATAATACTCGATGGTTAGAGACCCTGAATGACGTGGCTTAAAACCGTTTGCAATGGCGCAGGTGCATTTATTCTTGGTGTTCTCTCGAATTCTAACTTCCAGAATTCCTCATCACCTCTATCTTTTTGTTTTTAAGTTTCTTTCACTAAATTCTACTTCTTAAATAATATCCTCGAACCCTAATCTCTCCGATTACTGCTAATACTTTTACTACGTCTACTGCTATTGGATTTCAAGTGACAACTGCATCTGTGCTAATGTGGTATGGCAACATGAACTGATGTACAAAGTTCTATGTTGTTGTTAATACATTTGTTAGTCTTTAATAACATGCTTAACCTTTAACTAAAAAAAATTAATCATGACGTTAAATCAGTCTGTTAAATAGTTTACACTTGCACTGTAGATTTACTAACTACGGTGACCTATTTTTTTTTATCTAGTATTTCATATCTCACTAACTTCCAGTGGGTCTGTCCACTCAAATTTATAAATGCTGGATACTAAAATACAACTGTAATCTTTTATTTACATTAGGTATTCCTTTACCTGGTAAAAACTGTAAAAACACTGGATGCAAACAGGTAAGTCTGCGTGAATTATGTGCTATTCAAAATTGTATTTTCTTTTCACAATATGTGCTTTCTTATGCCTGTGGAAAACTGATCAGTTAAGTTTAGATTTGGATAATAAATTACAGTTAAATTATTAGTTTACAGGAATCTTTTAGCCATTCTTTTGGTTACTCAATATATCACACCTAGTTCCCACGATACGAACTATTTTAGGTATAAATTCCTAGTATTTGGATCATACGGGTATTTGTTACTGGTATGAAGGTGGATGTCACTTCCCGGCTGCCTACACCCGTGGAAGAATGTCTCTTGAGGGACTTAAGGAAAGAAGATACATTAGTATTGGTCTTAGAAACCTGGGAGCATGACCTCAGAGCCCAAGGGACAACTGCTTGAGGCCGGTTACGCACGGCCTTTTTTATGAAAAGTGTTAGCTCCGTTCTTGTTTAAAAGGCCTTACCGCCGGAGACACAAATCTGTGAGATAAGGTGAGGTGTTACAATTTTAAGGTCGACGTTTTCTAACTCCTCCCTTTCTTGTGAGAAGGCAGCATTGCTGCAGATGCTGGTTGTCCGAGGAAAACACCTTACTGTTGTTACACCCCTCTACAGTCAGTTAGCAGTAAGACGTCGCCCTCAGACCTTGAGTAGCTGTTGTTAGTCTCATCGACCTGCCTAGCATGGTAGAACTTACAGAAACATATGTTCCAGCGAATATAGCTCGGTTGGGTCATCACGATAGGCAAGCCCGACCACCACGTCAAGGTAACAGTTACGGTCGGGTTGGATCATACATGTTTCTGAAGCATTGTTCGTATAAGTTAGGGTCGTCGAACGAGTCATGCTTAAGTCAAGTACTAAGTGGGAGTAGCAAATTAGTCGGTGATATATTAAATTTTCATCGTATATACAACAACTGCCTACATTAACGTGTTGTTGGGTGGAGTAGAAGTAGATTAAAAGAAAGCTAGGAGCAATTAAACTAAAACGCGACATCAGTTCATGAATTCATTGATTGTTAAAGTGAGCTGTATTGTTAAGTTCAAACTTTGCTTAAAGTTCATATGATCACAACTAATAGTAGTGATTTTGGCTTTGATTCTCTGATCACTGACTAATTTATTCTCTCTGTTTAATTTTTATTTTCTATACTAATCATCGAAATTTCTTACCCAGGTTTATACAGGCACATGTTCAGATAATGAACTCTGTCTATATCATCCCGGTGTAGCTGTATTCCATGAAGGGTAAGTACATTTGTCATCATTATTTTTTGTTATATATAATGTTAGGATATTCATTCAATATCTTAAGAGAATTATTGGTCAATTCCTATTGGTTAATTCCTACTGGTCAATTTTATTGGTCGTCCTAGTAGATATCAATGTCACGTACTTCAATGTTGTTCTTTTAGTCGTCCTGACTATCAATGTCATTTCAAATGTTGTTTCCTATTGGTTGACTTAACTATCAATGTCACAGACTTCGATGCTGTTTCCTATTCGACCTAAATGTATAAATACGCATTATCAGTAACCTTCTATGACCCGAACAAGGATCCTCAATCCGGGATCCTTAGCCTCTTCTGGACTTCGACCTCGTACTTTCTGGATGCTTGTAGTGTAGTAAACGAGAACACAGGTGGGGCAACCGAATTGTATTTAACGAATATTACAGAGTTACTCAGTAAAATAGGAAAACCATATCGTAAATCGTTCATTTGCAAAATATCAGTTCATCATATCGAACTGGACTGTTCCTGTTACAAAACATCAACAATCCATTGTCACTATTCATGCGTTTCATACCAATTCCATTGTTTTCTAACTCTTCCTTTCTCTTGATCTTCCCCCATCTTCTGCTGCCAGACATTACGTTGACACTCACGTCATATACTACTTATAAGTAGCTCGCACCACAGTAGAATACACGTTCTACTTCATATCAAGTCTTCTTCTTTTACTCAATGGGGGGGGGTCGGGACACTCGGATTAGAGTAACATGTCGTGTGGCCGGATCTTCGATCCTCGCTCTCGTTTACTGACTAAGGTAAACTTGTAATAGTTCAAGCATATCAAAATGACATGTTTACGTTTATGCTTAAGATATAACATAGCTTTGAATACATTTCTAGGATAACCTGTTCTATAAAATTTTCATTGAACTTATAAATTACCGAATTCCATATTCCTTTTTCTCAATAAATAAATAATTATAGAGCTGTTTTTTTAAGTCTTGTGTTCAGTTTCACAAATATTAAAGATAAATATTTCTAGATTGTAACATATATATATATATATATATATATATATATATATATATAAGCGAACAATATAGTTTCTTTTTCCCTTAGGTCTTTATCAAGTTTTACCTCTAAATACTACATTAGTGATTTCATATGCGTATGTGAAAAGTCATAAATCATCTAAGTCAATTTGTATGTTCTATTCATACGCCATGTGAACAGGTATCCCAATCATATAGCTCGATTAAGTCATTGTATAGTACGCAAGCTCAACCAAAACATGAAGCTAGCCTGTCTTTCAAATAAATAGTGTAGCCGAATGTTCAGTTCATAAAGTTGTGCATAGCAAACAAATTGTAGTACTGTAATAATAATGATGTAACAAGATAAATTGATCTATTGTCAATATGATTCTCCAACCTGTAACGTATGTTTTGTCAGTCACTAGCACGAGCTTTCTGTACCCATGCTGGTTGGTGATTGACGAAATCTCAACACGGATACAGAAGGCTCGATTGACTTTAGCCAACTTGCGTCACCTATGGCGTAGGTGAGATGACTGTTTCATAACCAAAGGACGAGTGTACTTCGCAGCAGTTAGCTCCGTCCTACTACAAGGATGCGCAACATGGCCGCTGAGAGTAGAGGACATTCGTAGGTTGCTTGTCTTTGATCATAAGTCTCTCCGAAGCATTGCTGGTATATCCTGGGACAACCGAGTAAGCAAGGCTGTCTTTAGAAAGCGAGTACTAGTTAGGGATAGCAAATCAATAGATGAAGCTTTGAAACTTCATCAGTTGAGGTGGTTGGGACATGTGTTATAAATGTCCAACCACCGACTGCCTCGACGAGCTATGTTTTGTGGTGTAGGAGGAGGTTGGAAGAAGGCTAGGGACAGCCAGACCAAAACATGGCAAGAAATCCGTGAACTCACTGACAAGTGGACTGAGTCATGTTGATAGATGTAGGCTACCTGATTGGGGTCCGCGAGACGAAAGTCACCGATGGTTAGAGACTTTAAACGACATGGCTCAAAATCGTTTGCAGTGGTGCGGGTGCATCCACTCGTTGTATTCTCTCAAACCCTAATCTCCTTGATTCGTCAACACATTTACCTTTGTCTTTTTAAACTTATCTCAATGAATTATACTTGAATAATATCTTCAAATCCTAATCTTCTCCATTACCAGTAATACTTCTACTATCTCTACCACTATGGGATTTGAATTGACAATCGTGTCTCTGTGGTGATGTGGTATGGCAACATGAACTTATGCACGTAAGTACGAAGTTCTACGTTGTAACTGACTGACTGACTGACTATCTTTCAGTTCATAAACTTGTGCATAGCAAACAAATAGTAGTACTGTAATATTCATGATGTAATGAGATCAGTTGGTCGATTGTCAATATGATTTTCCAACCTATAATGTGTGTTTTGATTATATTAACTACACCTTTAGAAAGTGTTACATCTTTTGATATGCTGAAACAGTTATATGTCCAACTTTTAATCAAGGCTTTTTATATCTTTCCCAATGTGTCAATTTACTTTGTTTTTAGTTGTCTGTGTCATACTTTCTTATTTCTCGTGGCTTCAGAATCTCATTTCACTCCAGTGAATCATTAATCTATGTATGTGATTATATTATACAGACATGATCATATCTATCTATTATCATAATACCAAATCTCTTGTTGAGGTTTAAATTTGATAATTTCTATTTAATTGTATTATGATAGTTGTTTCTCCATCTAAGTTGGATGTTTTGGTTGTGAAGCTTTCATTATTGTCCTTCTGAACAGCAACATCATCAGCATAAATTGCAGATAAACAAAGGGAAGTATTCGAATTTCTTCACGTGCGACTCATAGGTTGTTCTGTTAACTAACCTCGATCTTGATTGGTTGCTATTGACCTTAAACCTGTCGTTGTTTGCACTTTTGTTTTGATTGTATCCCTTTAATTTTTGACTTTCCAAACTTTTCTCACTGAATTATACTTGTTGAATAATATCTTCTCATCCTAACCTCTCCGATTACTTCTAATACCTTTATTACCTCTACTACTATTGGATTTGAATTGACACTTATATCTCTGTGCTGATGTGGTATGACAGCATGAACTTGATGTACTTACGTCTGAAGTTCTACATTGCATCTGACTGACTGAACTAATTTTAGACATTTAACGATCAGAGTATAATAACCGGTAAAATATTGTTCGTTTTTTTTAAATGTGTTTTTTCCAGAATGAAGTATTGGTCTTGTTGTAATCAGAAAACGAGTGATTTTGAATCATTTGTTAAACAAGTTGGTTGTACTACAGGTCGACATAATTGGACTGTGGAAGTGAGTGGACAATTTTCTTTTCTCGATACAATTTGCACAATTAGATATTTACTTGAAAAAATCATTATTACTTTAAAGCTTCAAGTTATATACTGTTGTCGGTTATAATCAAGACTACTAAGTCGTGATTAGTCTGTCTTTTGTTTCTTTTCTACGACGAATTGTCTCTTTGTAGCCATCTTGTCACACGGTTTGTTTAAATAACGATGGATTATGGTTGATATTTGGGATTCGTGATGCATGTGTGCATACTTTTTCTCTTAGTTAAGGACTCATCAGTTGCATATACATGTATTTCAGTGTTTAAATGTCGACAACAGAGTTATTCCAATCCCTTATCAGTTATGATATAAAGTTTATACCAAACCAAAACCTGGCACAAATCCATGAAATCACTGATAAGTGGACTGAGTCATGTTGGTAGATGTAGGCTACCTGGTTGGGGTCCGCGAGATGAAAGACACCAATGGTTAGAGACCTTGAACGACATGGCTCAAAATCGTTTGCAATGGCGCCGGTGCATCCATTCTTTATGTTCTCTCTAATTCTAACCTTCTGCATACCTCATTATCTCTATCTTTCTCCTTCTAAATTTATCTCACTGAATTACACTTCTTGAATAATATCTTCAAACCCTAGTCTTTTTCATTACTACCATTAATACCTCTACTATTTGTATCACAATGGGATTTGATTTGACATTTGCATCTCTGTGCTAATGTGGTATGGCAACATGAACCTATGTACATACGTACGAAGTTCTGCGTTGCAGCTGACTGACTATACATGCATTTCAGTGTTTAAAACTCAATCCTAACATGTCGTCAACGGAATTATTCCAATTCCCTTATCAGTTATTAGGATATAAGTCTTATACCTGTTGAATTCAGGAACGAATATTTGAATTCATGACTTCAATAGATAACAAGTTGTATTTGAATTAAATAGTACTTGGGTTCAAGTTTCAATGTTAATATCAACATTACGATACACGTGATTTTAGTCGACTAGTCCCAAAATAAAATAAGATGAACACTGTAGACTCTGCCAGTCGAAACTAAACATTAAAAATCACAAATCATGATTATCGCCCTGTTGTTATTGGTTGTTCGTCAAGGTCAAATTTTGTGTTTCTTGTTATTGTGGTTGTTTGAGTAAACACAGTCATTGAATTTCATTGATCATTGAAATCAACAGTCATCATCCTACTGTTGTTAGTAGTATAGGTAGTGTTTGATTTTTTGTTTTGTTTTAGAGTGATTGTGTTCAATATGAGTTGTGTTGTTTTTTCTATAGGCGAAGAAGTTAGAATTAGAAAACTTTATGTATCTCTAAACAGAAGGTATTTATTTTTTATATGTATATATGAAATGATACATGAAATTAATGAAAATCTTAATTTTTCTTTTTAAAATGGATTAGTGGTAGGTAGGTTATGATATATATTACTGGAACAACACACTCTGGTCAAACTAAAGTTAAAGGACTGAGCTTATTGAGCTGAATGTCCTGTTAATGTCGAAAGTGGAAATAGTCTGCCCCCTGCCTTTTTAAATACTGTCCTATGGACACGTCTACATAAACATTGCTTTTTTGAAGCGGGAGGTGTTTCAGATCTTTGATTGTAAACTGATAGTACATATTGGCCTCAAGAGAGAAAATAGGCTTAAGGACATGTTGTTGGTCATTGGTTATGATGGGACCGCACCTCTTAACGTTGCTCCACTGCTTTACGGACTAGATCTGCTGGTCAAAGGTTCGGCGGTTACCAGCTACCTAAGAAAAACCACCTGTTTTGGTTTGAGAGGGATTAGGCAGTATTCCAGTCCAGTCACAGATTCAATAACTTGTGACACATGAATATTTAGGTATCCCTTTGTATCATTGTTTGTGTTTAAATAAAATATATTGCCATCTCTGCATAAAATGACTTGTACCACCTTATTAAGTTGATTTTATTCTGAATAATATTTACGTGTGAAATCAGTCAGTTAGTTGCAACGTAGAACTTCGTACGTATGAACATAAGTTCAGGTTGCCATACCACATTAGCACGGAGATGCAAATGTCAAATCAAATCCCATAGTGATACAAATAGTAGAGGTATTAATGGTAATAAAGAAAACTAGGGTTTGAAGATATTATTCAAGAAGTATAATTCAGTGAAAAAAAGTTTAGAAAGACAAAGGTAGGAATGTTGACGAATCCAGAAGATTAGGATTTTGGAGAACACGATGAGTGGATGCACTTGCGCCATTGCAAACGGTTTTGAGCCATGTCATTCAAGGTCTCTAACCAACGATTATTATCATCTCGCGGACCCCAACCACGTAGTCGACAACTACCGACATGGCTAAGTCCACTCGTCAATGACTTCATGGATTTCTGCCATGTTTTGGTCTGGCCACTCCTAACTTTCTTCCAACCTACTCCTACACTACAAAACAAAGCTCGTCGAGGCAGCCGGTAGTTAGGCATACGCAACACATGTCCCAACCACCTCAACTGATGAAGTTTCATTACTTCATCTATTGATCTGCCATCCTTGCCTAGTACTCGTTTCCTAACGACAGCATTGCTTACTGGGGTGTCCCACGATACCTGAGCAATACTTCTCAGACATCTATGATCGAATACTAGTAACCTAAGAACATCTTCTACTCTTAACGGCCATGTTTAGCATCCATGTAGGAGAACGAAGCGAACTGCTGCGCAGTACACTCGTCCTTTGGTTAGTGAACGGATATCTCGCCTATGTCATAAACGGCGTAAATTGGCAAAAGCAAATCGAGCTTTCTGTATCCGTGCTGATATTTCGTCAGTCATCAGGCTATCAGCGCTGATGAGACTCCTCAGATAAGTGAAGTAATCAACACGCTCGACTACTTCACTCCCTATCTCTAGTTCAGGTGCCGATGCAACCCAGTCTTGAAGTAACATTTTGCATTTGGGGGTGGGGGTAACCGCATCCCAAACATGCTTGCATTGTTGCGTATGGTAGTCAGAAGACTCTACATTTTGTCAGCGTCTTCACCGAATAGAACTATGTCATCGTCATATTCTATCTTTGTATAAAATACAAATCTATTCCTTATCAATAAACAAACTTTAATCCTCTTAACCGAAGAAGATTAATTTAAAACTTTTCACACTTTCCAGTATTCATTTTTTGAATATATACTTATGGAAACGCTTTCGTGAACAGTGCTCTATGTTTTGGTCTCACAAATTGTATGTGACGTGCTACAGACTGAATGACTAAGTAGTTCAAATCCAATTCCACCTATTTCTCACTGGATGACAACTGGATAGTATCACTTTCAAAGCCAACTACACACTAAGTCTAGGTCTCATGTCGTAGTCCTATTACATTCAATTCGTTTTGGGTAACTGAGTATTTCCACTTATCCTCACTCAGTAACATGGCCACTAAGAATCGTGGATATTCGTAGATTAGTAGTAGTATTCAATCATAAGTGTTTTCAAAGCAGCGGTGCACGTGTATTCTGAGACCACCATGTAAAGAATATAGATCAGTTGCTGATGTAGTGAATCGTGATCAGTTAAGGTGGTTGGGATATGTGTCACTTATGTCTAACCATCAGTTATCACGACAAGTAATATTGTTTAATGTAGGAGTAGTTTAGAAGAAAGCTGAAGGGCGGCCAAACCAAAACAGGGCACAAATCCATATAAAGTCACTGACAACTGTACTGAGCTATGTTATTTTGTATAGACTACGTAGTGGTTGGTGTCCGCGTCACCACAGTCACCGATGGTGGCGCAGAAGTATTGATTGCTAGTCTTCTCCTGAATTGGTCATGACCTTTTTTCTCTTTTTAAATTTAATTCAGTGGATTATACGTTACGCATCATATTTTCAAATCCTAATCTTCTCCATTACCACTAATAATTCTATTACCTCTACCTGCAAGCATGTTCGGGATGCGGTTTTCCCCCTCGAAATGCAAAGGGTTGTATCGGCACCTGAACTAGTGATAGGGAGTGAACTAGTCGAACATGTAGACCGCTTCACTTATCTTGGGAGTCTCATCAGTGCTGATGGCCTGGTGACTGACGAAATCTCAGCTCGGATACAGAAAGCTCGACTGGCTTTTGCCAACCTGCGTCACCTATGGCGTAGGCGAAATATCCGTTTGCTAACTAAAGGACGAGTGTACTGTGCAGTAGGAGCCGTCTTACTTTATGGCTGTGAAACATGGCCAGTGAGAGTAAAAGATATTCGTAGGTTACTGGTTTTCGATCATAGGTGTCTTCGAAGCATTGCTCGTATATCGTGGGACACTCAAGTGAACAACGCTGTTATTAGGGAGCGGGTGCTAGGTAAGAATGGCAGATCAATAGATGAAGTAATGAAACTTCATCAGTGGAGGTGGATTGGACATGTGTTGTGTATGCCTAACTACCGACTGCCTCAACGAGCTTTTGTTTTGTAGTGTAGGGGTAGGTTGGAAGAACGTTAGGGGCGGCCAAACCAAAACATGGCAGAAATCCATGAAGTGACTGACTGATAAGTGGACTTAGCCATGTCGGTAATTGTCGACTACCTGGTTGGGGTCCGCGAGACGAAAGTCACCAATGGTTAGAGACCTTGAATGACATGCTTCAAAATCGTTTGCAATGGCGCGAATGCATTCATTCGTTGTGTTCTCTCAAATCCTAATCTTCTGGATTCTTCAACACCTCTAGTGTTGACTTTCTCTCACTGAATCATACTTCTTGAATAATATTTTCTAATCCCAACCTCTCTAATTACTTCTAATACCCTTACTACCTCTTCTACTATTGGATTTGAATTGACATTTATATCTCTGTGCTGATGTGGTATGGCAACATGAACTGATGTACTTACGTACGAAGTTCTACGTTCCGACTGACTGACTGATTGCCTTTACCACTACTATGAAATTTGAATTGACAGTTCTCATCTCTCTGTGTGTACTAATGTAGTAGTAGTAGTAGTAGTGGCAACACGAACACTGATGCATGTATGTACAAAGTTTTGTGCGTTATAGCTGGATAGGCTAATTTTTAAAGATTGAGTTATTATTGCATGAATCATTTTAAATTTCACTTTTTTTTCATGTTTTTTTTCTTGTTATTGAATAAAGGATGTCAAATCTCTTCAGCCGAATACAAATTGTCGTTTTGATTGGTATCAACTTGGCAATGGTAGTGTAACATTGACTATTTATGCTAAAAATATATGGCCTGAAACTGTATCGTTTAAAGCAAATCAAGTCATGTTGCATGTTTCATTGAAATTCGGTATAGATTATCAAATATTTGAACGAGATTTCAATTTATACGGTGTAAGTTTATTGCTTTGTTTTTATTATTATTTTATTTGTTAAATATTAAAATTGAATGGAACTCACCACTGTACATCAAGTTTATCGACTATGAGAAAGCATTCGATAGCATGGATAGGAAAACACTGTGGAGGCTTGTTCGACACTACAGTGTGCCTGAGAAGATAGTTAACATCATACGGAATTCTTATGATCTATTCAGCTGCAAAATCGTATACGGTGGACAGCTAACAGACTATTTCGAGGTGAAGACTGGTGTCAGGCAAGGTTGCTTACTCTTACTCACCCTTTCTATTTCTCCTGGTGATCGACTCGATTATGGAGACGTCGACATCTGCAGGGAAGCACCGTATTCAGTGGACATCTAGGACGCAGCTGGACGATCTGGACTTCGCAGATGACCTGGCTCTTCTATCGCACACTCAACAACAAATGCAAGAGAAAACGACCAGTGTAGCAGCAGCCTCTGCAGCAGTAGGTCTCAACATACATAAAGCGAAAAGCGAAATTCTCCGATGCAACATAACATGCACCAACCAAACCACTCTTGATGGAGATGCCTTGGAGGATGTTAACACCTTTACATATCTTGGCAGCATCATCAACGAGAAAGGTGGATCCGATGTAGATGTGGGGGTGCGGATTGGCAAAGCAAAGGCTGCATTTCTACAGTTGAAAAATATCTGGAACTCCAAACAAACATCAATCAACACCAAAATCAGGATTTTCAATACAAATGTCGAGATAGTTTTACTGTATGGAGCGGAAACCTGGAGAACTACGTAAGCTATCATCCAGAATATAAAAGTGTTTATTAACAGTTGTCTACGCAAAATACTTCGGATTCGTTGGCCAGACACGATTAGCAACAACTTATTATGGGAGAGAACAGACTAGATTCCAGTGGAGGAAGAAATCAGGAAGAAGCGGTGGAGTTGGTGGATAGGACACACACCTACTGCGTCACGAGACAAGCCCTCACATGGAACCCTCAAGGCAAAAGGAAAAGAGGAAGACCAATGAACACATTACACGCCGAGAAATAGAGAAAGATATGAGAGGAATGAACAAACATTGGACAGAATTGGAGAGGGAAGCCCAAGACAGAGTTGGTTGGAGAAAACTGGTGGGCGGCCTATGCTCCTCTATTGGGGGTAACAGGCGTAAGTAAGTAAGTATGAAAATAATTTCAACATTGAACGGATAGAAATATAAGAGTTCTTGATGAACAGGGGTGTCTTTTGTTGTAGTTAATTAGTACCGACTGAACCTTATTGATCCAGTAGCCATGTATATGACTGGTGAGTCTTAATGGCCCAAACATTATTGCATCATACTCTGTCTTGTTGTGGTGTTGTTTTTAACTAGTGGTTAATTCGTTTTCCTTGATGCCAATAAATAACCATAATAGGATGAGGGGTAATAAGAAAGACTACGTGTGGAAGATTGTTAGAATATTCATCAAATATCTTTATAGAATTATTTTCGTAAGTCTAATTCTATTGTACAATTCCTACTGGTCAGTATTATGGTTGTCCTAGCTATCAATGTCAGGTACTTCAATGTTTTTTTCCGATTCGACCTAACTGTATAAATACACGTTATCTGTAACGTTTTATCACCCGGATCCTTGTCTTTTTCTGGACTCGGACCTCGTAGTTTCTGAATGCTTGTAGAATACACGTTCTATTTTATATCACGTCTTCTTATTTTTACTCAATATGGGGGTTGTGACACTCCGATTAGAGTAGCATGTCGTATGGCCGGATCCTCGATCTTCGCTCTCGTTTACTGACTAAGGTAAGCTCGTAATAGTTCAAGCATATCCAAATGACATGTATTCGTAACAAAGATACAATTTAAAAGAATATTTTTAATTAGTGAAATGAAAACAATAAGAAACTGCAAGGAATTCAAAAGTTTAGAATTTGATGGATGACAAATAATGAATACGCGTCTGCACAATAAAAACAAACGATTGTAAGCCATGTCATTCCACGATTCCAATTTTTGGTTACGATAATCAAGTAGTGTGTGTCTAGTAAGTAACATGACTCAGTCCAGCCGTCAATGACTTGTGTCCCCCACATTTTGGCTTGGCAAGTCTTCCAACCGACTCTTATGTCTGACAACATCGCCCGTCTAGGTAGGTGGTGGTTAACACATACATAAAACGCCTTAACTCCCGAGCGTAGTTGCTACGTGTTACGCATGCACGTAAACACGTCAACTTGATATGCTTGAGCTATTACGAGTTTACCTTAGTCGGAATACGAGAGCGAGGATCCGGCCACACGACATGCTACTGTAATCCGAGTATCCCAACCCCCATTTTGAGTAAAAATAAGAAGTCGATATGAAGTACGAGGTCCGAGTTAAGAAGAGAACTAGGGTCCCAGACTAGGCATCCGGGACTGGGTCCTGGTCATAAAACGTTACAGATAATGCATATTCATACATTTAGGTTGAATGGGAAACATCATCGAAGTCTGTGACATTGACAGTTAAGACGACGAATAAGTAAGAACATTGGCGCATGTGACATTGATATCTAGGACGACCATAAAATTGACCAGTAGAAATTAACCAATAGGAATTGACCAATAATTCTCTTAGGATATTGGATGAATATCCTAAGACTACCTTGGTCGGTCTTGCCTGTCGTGATGACCCAGCCGAGCTATATTGGTTGGAACATATGTTCCTGTAGGTTTTACCATGCCAGGTCGGTCGATTAGTGTGAACGGTAAGACTAAACAGCAGCTACTCAAGGTCTGAGGTCAAAGTTATACTGCTGACTGACTGACTGTAGAAGAGGGTGCTATAACAGCAGTAAGGTGTCTCTCTTGGACAAGCATCATCTGCAGTGATGTTGCCTTCTCACTTTACAATTACCACAATTGGTGAAGACAGACAGACAGATACAATGCAGAACTTCGTACGTAAGTACATCAGTTCAGGTTGCCACACCACATCAGCACACAGAGATGGAGTTGTCAATTCAAATCCAGGAGTGATAGCGATAATAAAAGTATTAGCAGTGATGCAGAAGACTAGGGTTCGAAGATATGATTCGAGAAGTATAATTGAGAGAGATAAATTTAGAAAGTGAAATGTAGAGATGATGCGGAGTTCAGAAGTTTAGAATTAAAGAGAACACAAAGAGTGGATGCATCTGCGCCATTGCAAACGATTCTGAGCCATGTCGTTCAAGCTCTCTAACCATCGGTGACTATCGACTCGCGGACCCCAACCAGGTAACCTACATCTACCAACATGACTCAGTCCACTTGTCAATGACTTCATGGATTTGTGCCATGTTTTTTGGTTTAGCCACCCCTAACTTTCTTCCAACCTATTCCCACACCACAAAACATAGCTCGTCAAGGCAGTCGGTGGTTAGCTATACGTCGTAACACATATCCCAATGACCTCAACTGATGAAGTTTCACTACTTCATCTATTGATTTGCTCTCCCTACCTAGAACTCGTTTCGTAGGTGAATATTATTGATGACAATTAACTGACTGCATCCATTTTTCACAAGTATACTTTTAATATTCTGTTTTGTTTTCCCTTACTCCTCCTCCTGTTTTCTTCAACAATTTTCAGCCAATTGATCCAACTCAATCGATTGTTAAACTAATGCCTTTAAAAGCTGAAATTATTTTAAAAAAATCTGAACCAATAGCATGGCCTACATTTGAATGGGAACAGTCGACACACAGTAAAATAGACGTCAATGCATGAATGAATGAATGAATAAATGAATGAATAGTGACAATTGAATGAAATCATTGAGAAATTTTGAAAATTCGAAAATGAAAATATGATGCATTTTATCTTGTTGGTGTATTTAAAATAACATTTGTTCAATTTTCAATTATAACAAGAACAATAACAACAACGATTATGTGATATGGTTTTTTGTTTTTGTTCAATATGAATGATGAAATTGATGGAAACAATCATCAATCATCTTTATTACTGTTATTATTGTTATTACTACTATTATTATGCGTTTTATTTTTTAGAAGAATAACAAAAAACCAATTTTTGTTAATAAATATGAAACGTTTCAAGTTTTTTTTATCATGCGCATGTGTTCATTATTGATGACAGATTCAGTGTGCTGTTACAGGTTATGAGTGTGGATGTCACTTTCCCGGTTGTTTACACTTTTGGAAGATACATTAGTATTTGTGGTCTTAGAGACTTGGGAGAGCGACAGCAGAGCCTAAGGGATAACTGATGATAGTAATCGAAGGTCAGAGACCAGACCAAAACATGGCAGAAATCCATGAAGTCATTGACGAGTGGACTTAGCCATGTCGGTAATTGTCGACTACCTGGTTGGGGTCCGCGAGATGATAACAATCGATGGTTAGAGACCTTGAATGACATGGCTCAAAATCGTTCGCAATGGCGCCGGTGCATTTATTCTTTGTGTTCTCTCAAATCCTTCTGGATTCTTCAACTTTGTTAACTTTTCCCACTGAATCATACTTCTTGAATAATATCTTCTAATCCTAACCTAATCTCCGATTACTTCTAATACTTTTACTACCTCTTCTACCATTGGATTTGAATTGAAAATTACATTTCTGTGTGCTGATGTGGTATGGCAACATGAACTGATGTACGTACGTACGTATGAAGTTCTACGTTGCATTTGACTGACTGGAAAGGACAACTGATTGAGGCCGGTCACTCACGGCCTCTTTATAAGAAGTGTTAGCCCCGTTCTTGTTTAAAAGGCCTCACAGCGGGAGACTCAAATCTGTGAAGTAAGGTGAGGTGTGACATTTTTAGGGTCGACCTTCTTTCCTTGTAAGAAGGCAGCAACGCTGTAGATGCTGGTTGTCCGAGGAAAAAACCTAACTGCTGTCACATCCCTATACAGTCAGTCAGTAGTACGACTTCGCCCTCAGACCTTAAGTAGCTGCTTTTAGTCTCATCGTTCTCCAATGGACCTGCCTGGCATGGTAGAACCTACATGCAGTCAGTGAGTTCATGGGGGAGTGAAAATGAACTTCGCATACTCTATTAATTGTACACAAACTATCAGATATCCTAGTTCATTTTGGAAGTCTTTGTGTCGTAACAGAGTGTATCCCCATTCTAAAAAACACTTAAAAGACATGCGTCGGATCGAACTGACATTATAGAAATGAATATCCGCTACATGCAAAGCAATCTTCTTTAGAGACAATATTCCGTTAAAAACCTACCTTTAGAGTTTTAGTCAAAGTTTATGGATTATATTGAAACTGTTTCCAAGAACAGATCTGAAAAGACAATGACCCGAGATGGCACGTACATAACTTCTTAATTATTGAACTACATGTCATACCGTTAGAAGTTTTATTTCTGGGTGCCTAAATTCTCTGATGGTGGGCATAAAATCAACCAACTACATACTGTTGTACAGTTTTGTTGTAACGCTTCGCTTATATAATTCCTGTTGCTTAGTATTCTTTGACCACAATACACTGGACAAGTTCCAAGGAATCAAAAACACGGTGGAACAGGAAAATATTTTATTGCAAATAGCAAGGTTAGATGGAAATAAGAAGGTAACGGCAACATAGATACAACGTTAGATTCTTTATAGCATTTACGTGAGAAGCTTCTTGACTGTAATTCACGTGATCGACTGGATTAGATTTAGCCAATCAGCATGCAGCTAGCAACAGGAGAATCTTCTACCCTGTTCTCCAAGAGTCGATCAGGCGTTGATTGGATAGCAAATTAGTCAATCAGCGCGCAGCAACGTAGTCATGCTCTAATTCCATCTATGTCCCACTAACAAGTTTAAGAATTAATTTTCACAAACACCTGACTTGATTTCTGCCTCTTTGGAAGATCTAGCTAGGTTTATCAGTACATGAGTAGTAAGTTTAACGCAAATCGTTTACTAACTAAACAGCACCGATACTCTTTAACAAAGCTAAAGAAAAATGAAACCCTGATCAGTGAGCAAACCGGATAACGGAGAAGGTATAATTCTGATGAACAAAATGGAAGCAACGCTTGGTGAGTGATCTTAGCACAATTTCAGGAGTTATTAGTAATAATGACATCAATAGAAAAAGGAGTCATTACGTCAGAGATTCATGAGTCGCTTCAATCGACTGGATCAAATACATCACGATTGTATGGTTTTTGTGTTGTTCAAATGAAGTAGCTTTCAAAATCCTACGCTTTTACGCTCATCACTTGGTACGCTTGCAGCTATTACGAGTTCACCTTAGTCGATAAACACGAACGAGACTTTTACCAGCGTCCAGGTAGGCTACCTCGAATCCCCAAAATAAGGTAAGAAGGCTTTGTAAGCGTAGAAAGTATATTCTACAAACATCTACAAACATCACACAGTACAATCAAGCATACAACTCTCGTTTATTTATGCAACATAGGAACGTCCTTGAGACAGTTAAGAAAATAGCATACTAAAATACACAGCAGCCAATCACAGCCATGGATTTTCCTGGTGGGAATTGAAATCTCACGGTCATCTGATCAGCCCATGCTGGCAGACGAGAAAACCAAAATACGGCATTTATCAAACGAGTTTTGGGGATCTAACATCCCCAACAGACAGGCAGTAGCCCTCTAGGGGGTCTAGGCGGAGTTGAAATCCTGTGGTCATATTAGTAAACCTAATCTATTTAAATCAAACGAATTCTGAATAATGTAGTATTTATATAGTATTTGTATAGTATTTACTGGTCACAAACAATAATTCGACACGATAATGTTGAGTTATTGAAGTCAATAAACATTGTTGATGCTCTGATTTACTGATTGGTTCGGTTAAACTTGGTCATTCAGATAAAAAAACGCACTGAAGAAAGCTTTATTTCCGAATAGCGATGTACTCACCTGTATTCACGAGTAGTTAACTGACTCAGATAACCACATTTGGTTGGTGGTTGACCTCTTCGGTTGATGAATACTTGCATCAACTCGGATACCCTGCCCACACTTGCATCTTACCTGTCATGGGTCTTTCAGGTGTCATGTGACCTATCTGATTGTACATTGAAATTGTGAATCAATCATTTTTAGACCACCATTATAAACCTGGAGGCAGTGGACGACCATCTCGTTCTAGTATGGGAGTCTTCAGTAGTGCAAATCATCCTAATTCGAGTTATAAACCAATGCTCCCTAAAATTTTGACTGTTAAGCTTAAGCCTATCCTAATATCGCAAAGTAATTCTGTGGGGAAGTTGGGAAAAGAGGAATGATCTGTATCGGTTAGTTGGCATGTTATCCTACCCACACCTGAATGGTGGTTTCGTCCAAGTATGGGACTGTTCAGCAGTGCCCATCATCATATCACTGGTCACTACGAAATAGAGTCACAAATCAATTAATACTAACATTTTGAAGATTTCAACTGGTAAGCCTAGGTACATCCTAATATCGCGACGTAATAGTCAATAATTGTGTGGGGAAGTTGGGAAACGAGGAATGTTCTGTATTGTTTAATTGACATGGATTTCTTCATATTTCCATATACTACTTACAAATAGTAAGTAGTCTAATTTATGTTTAGGCCTTCCTGTGTAAACATTATTCCTGCATTAACAAAAGACTTCTTATTCTAAATAAATATAAACTTATTTTGATGTTTTGGTTTATTATTCCTTGTCTTATTTCATTTCCCTCTTCTGATTCGATCCCTGTATAAATGGTATTTATTTTATAACGACACAGATAGTGTAGAACTTGTGTAGTGTGTCGATTTATTGCGTGTTCTTAAGCTCGGTTTATAAATCAGAACATGAACTCGTATTGATGAATACGTTTATTTGGAACACACACTACAAAGCGAAGCGGTGAATAAAACGAATGAAGCGAATGGATAGGCGAAGCGCGTTGGAGAAGGCAAAGAGCCAACTCTTTGGATTACAATGCGAGCGAATGGTCGAAGTGAATTGGAGAAGGCTAGTGAGCCAACTCAAAGAAATAGAATATGACTAAGAATATATAGTCAGACCAAAAATAAGACAGACATATGACAAGCGAAATAGGTATGCACACACATGAATAAAAGCGACGAATGATTGACAAGGTCAAATGACAAGTGGGACATGTCATGTGAGTTCATGGGGATATTAAGAGATTAACATTAAAGCGAAAAGGATGAGTAAGCGCGCGTAGGCGTAAGCAATGCCCAGTCGTATAAGCTCATACAAACCAGATAATAAAAAATACCAATGGTACATATGAGTTGTTGCTATACAAATAAATGGCTTGGTTAAATAAATTAATCGAAAGGGCTTAACCAAGTTAGATGTAAGCGAACTGGAATATATGTGGAGGCACTACACTTAGGATTGGTTTGTTCGGGATAGTTCATGATCAGAATTTCGTTGTATAATCACTGAGTAACTAGATTACGATTGATGTATGCATATGTATATACATTCCTTTTGGCAAACTCACCAGTTAATATCAGATAGCTTACTATTCCTAAGTTTTTTGTGCTCAGTTTTTAGTCAGATATTTTTACAATGTATACTACATAAGAATAGTTTTTTAATTTGGATATATTGCTCATTCAAAAAATTTATAAAGTGTTTATGAGTTTAATTTTAGCCTGTATCGATTGGTGTAGAAATCAATCGTTGTGTTTTGTGTACATTAATGAAGGAAGCAATCTCGATGTCAATCAGTGATGAAAGTGTATACATAGTCATACAGCAAGCACATCAACAGAATTTCTCTAAATGTCAGGT